AACTGCCAGAAACTGCAGTTCCTCGTGTGTCCACTAGAGGCGGGCTTCAGAGGTGAGTCAATCCCCCATTGAGCACAATGTTAAAATATCCAACCTTACAACAGAAATAAACATGAATACGGTCTGGTACAGGAAATGCATTCGGTCTCTGTAGCTAATTTCCCAGTTCACGACAACTCTACAAGTTTTTAATGTTTATTTGACCAAATTATTTAAATTGCATCAAGGCGTGACGTTGTGCATAATTAAGGGCGTTTAGTTGCATTCTTATACGACTAAAATACGTTTTGAAGGTATTTTCTGTCAGATTACATTTGTCTAATCAACATATGTTTAAAAATAACTTTGTTTACTACCAAACAATCAAGGAGATGCTTCACATACGTAGTGAAAAGTTCGTACTTTAACCCAAACCATGACATTTTTCCAACTGCAAGCCGAGTAATTCTGGTGCCTAACCATAACCAAAGCGTGATATGTTTCTAAACCTAACCACGCCGTCTAAAGAAAACCAAACGACAACAGAAATACTTGGGACTCATTGTCAGCCAGGTGAAACTGAGGAGGATTCTACAAAAAGAGACATCCATTGAGGCTCTTAAGATCATTTGCGGCACTGTCGTTAGAATTAAATAACATAATGTAAATGTAGGTGACTGTAAGGTAAATAAATAGGGTTAAAACACAAGATAAGATAACCCTTTATTAATCCTACAGTGACAAAGGGGATGATGCAACAATGTAGGAAACATGAGCAGAAAATTAAAAAAACACTTCAATGCTGTTGACAATGATCAGATTCTTCGATGTGTAGAAAAATGTAGTTCGAGCACAGATTCCTCTGAAGTTGCTCAGGGCTGTTCTTCATGTGGACAAACGCTGACATCGGAGACGACATCTTTTGCCATTTTGATTGGCTGCGGAAAATCCACGCTGTGTCATTAAATGCACACTAAACTGGGCAAACGGTTCCACAGTCGGAAGGCAAGAATGAACAACCGTGGGCTCTATTAAATAAGTGAGATACAATAAAATATGATAGATACGTCCGTCCTCGTCACCGCAAACAGACTGAGATTCAAAAAACTCCAACGGGCTCGTAGCGGTGAGTCAGGAGACACTTAAAAGCTGTTTCTAAAACTTCTGAGCTGCAGCGTGATTGAACAGAAACGTTGAAACGCCCATTTCTGGCCGTGGCGGTTCCATAATGGGGCCATACAGAGCCTCAGCCGCCGGGTGAAGGAGGTTAAACTCTTTTCATTTAAAGTTGTACAGATGCTTCCCTGGAGAGATTCGTGCTCCGCAAACTTTCAAGGTTGGCTGCTACCTTGCATTTAAAGGGTCGGTACACCCAAAACGCAGATAAAAACCGATGCAGATAGCTCGGTCGGTGTTGGTTTGTGACTTTTTCTGCTGCCGTCCTGATTTGTTTTCATCCAACTGAAGAAATAGTCGTTGTGAAGACACGTGTTGACTGTTGATGTCTTTTTTCAACTCTGTACACGACTTCACTGTGTGAACGAATCTCAGATATCTCAAAACGCCAACAAACCAAAGCCTTAAACAATTGGAGACTCCTGACCCACAGCTAAACCTGCCTGGTCTTTGTCTTGTGGTTCTCTGCAGACGGTGGCATCTGTTCAGCAGCTATGAGCCTCAGCTGTTCCCCCTTTTTCTTTAAAGGAAGACGCGACCTCCAACCAATAAAGGCTTTTGTGTTGGCCACGCTCCGTCAAAGATGTTATTTAATTTTTCCGTAATTACTCAGCCCTCATCTGCTCGCCTTCGTTGGCGCTAATTCACAATCCTTCTCCTGCTCCGCATTGAGACCGATGCCTCCTTGTGTGAGGTGATTATTCCTGTACTTTTATCTCGTCCCATTTATAGCCGAAGCCCGGCCTGAATAAATGGCTGCGGCCTTGACACATGCTTTATCCGGCGGAGCGTGAAACTATTTTTCATAGTCACGACCTCGATTCACACACAACTCCGTAAACATATGTATTACTGATGTGCAGTTGCCGGCTGCTGTCGGCGCTATCAGGCCCGTGACATGTCCCATTCCTTTCACTGAGCTCAGCCTGCCGTCCTTATCTGATAAATTGGTTTTTAATTTGCGAGCACTTTGTGGAAGGGAGCAAGAAGGGGCAAAAAAAGCATTTTGAAACTGCTTCTTATTTCCCACTATTTCTTACCCAGAGCTCCACATCCGTCTTATGGATTCCTCCGTAATCTTGTTTTATTCTTTTGTGCTCTTTAAGTCGAAGAACTGTGGCTTCTCTTAATGTTGTTTACTGTCGAGTTCTACCTCTCTGCTCTTTGTTCTTTTATTATTCAATCCGGCTCAGATGAGCTCTTCGCTCCTCTTCTATCATGTTATATGGACTCTCAATAAAACTGGCAATATTCTTTATACTGCTTATTATAAATAAATCCCATGAAAAGGCCCAAATCAACAACATGTTATCGCTCAGCGCCGTCCGACGTCGGAGGCGCTGAGCCGGTGCAGTGAAGATGTAAATCGTAGAAACCAGTCTGACGCTTTATGTTGGGTTTTTTTCCTTTATTCCTCTGGACTTAAGGCAGTTTCTTTGGCTTCTCGTGGGCTCGTTTTGCAGCATGAAGTCCTGAACCTCAATCCAAACGGCAAAAGAGAGAATTTAAAAATGACTTTTATGTGCTATGACAAAAGGACGATGTCATAAATTATATAAAGAAGAAAAAATCAATTCAGCTGGACTCTACATGTGCTGTTGTTGTACTGTCACGTTCAAAAACTGTAGTAAACGGTGAAAGTATTTGTTTAATAATCATATTTTAAGCAGGTTTAAATGCAATAAAACTGAACGTGAGAGTGAACACTACACAGCAGAGATTTAAACTTATTAATTAATTATTTGCCATTTTTGAAACCCTTAATTTACATAATTAATATGTTTTTCTTTCAAATAACACCAAATAGCTGTTAAATAGTGTTTTTTTTGTTGTTGTTGTTGTTGTCGTTTGTTTTTTTTTTTTGCTGATTTAAATAGTTTTTTTTTAAGTACAATTTTTTGTTGAAATCTAAAATGACAAATTACTTTTTGTGAAACTACAGATTTTTTACGTGGGCATTATTTCTTGTTTTGAGCAGTTTTTTTTATGATTAAACTGTAAATTAAGATTTTTTGATTAGATTTTTTGTGCAATTTTAACAAAATAAGGAAAATCTTTTAAATAACTTTTTTTTAAAATTACCAAAATATTTACAGATTTTCAACCCTTAATAAACACAAGTTAAAATTTTTGAAAATAACATCCCTGATCAACATAGTTTGTCTATTTGTTGCTAACACTGGTTTGCTGTACCCACTATTGGTATTTTACATTTTAATAATTTATATTGGTGTCCATGTTTGTCTCCTGTCTGTTCTGTGCACACATCCTGCAGTTCAGCCGAAAAGTCCTTGAATTGTTCTCGTGTGACGGTTGGTAGCAGCTGAGTCACTGACAGCTTCACAGTTCTGATGAAAAATGTAGAATTTTTTGTTTTTTATAGAATCTAGTTTGGGCAACTAATAAGTATTTTTGGCAAATTTTTAAACGAAACACGTAGAATAAAGAGATTTTGACAAAATGTCGTGATTTTTAGCTGAGAGTTGGTAATTTTTTCTAATAGAGTTGCATGTCATGGATGGATTGTTTAATATTCATCTGGAAGGTAAAAATCCAACAATTATTTCTGTTTTTATAGCTTCTGGCTCCGATAAACAGCTGAATTTTGTTGATTTTTTTTATTTATTTACTTACTTGGTTTTAAGGCGACGCACCATTCAAAGCCACTTCCTGGTTCTGGGGTTCATTTGTCACTTGTCTGTCGCGTGTTAATTGTTTTCTTTCCAATCAAAAGATTCAGTCGTTCCCTAAAACAACTGTCGTTTTTATCAGGCGTTATTCGATCTGGAGTAAACAGTAGATTAACTTGGAACCGTTTGCAGCTGTGGCTAAATACGGAGCAGATGCTGAGGAGAGTTTTTTTTTCTTCCAGCAGTGGGACCGAGTCAAATGAAACTAAATTAATTATGTGTGTGTTTACGGCGGTGGAGAAACAGTTTGACGGCGTGGCTTAACGATGGAACGACGACGACGAAGCTCTGCGGCGCGGAAAGTTAATCTGTTCGTTGTTTGGTCGAGAAAATGCCAGAAAAGATGACGAGGTGACGCCATCGAATGTCTCGTTTCGTCAAAGATGCTCAAGAAACGAGGAAATATTCACATTTAAGTAGCTGGAACCACCGAATTTTGGCTCCTTTTCTTAGAAAATGACTCAAACTGCAGTTATTTTAATGGTAAACAGTTATTAGATCTAATGTTGCATCTGGTAAGAATATAAAAACCATAATATGGACTTAAGTGTGCAATAAAACCCAACAAGCCCCTCATAAATGCTTATTATTGTTAATATTATTATTATTATTATGTTGTTTATATGCTGTACTTAAGCTTTTTTTTATTCTAAATACCCGCAATGTTGCACCTTTATCAAAAATACCAGCACCTTATTTCCTCAACCAGCAAGTTTTGCACGTTCTTGTTGACGTTTTTATCCTTATTTTTCTTTAATGTAATGCGTGTGAGCTGCTGGTTAGCTTCAATTTCCCCCAATGTGATGAATAAACTATAAATCTATGGTTAGAAATCAAATCCATTTGGACTGTTGCTGAGACAAAATAATAATGAATTAGCAAAAAGTTGTTTTAAAATGTAATTTACTTGAAGTCTGGCTCCTTTTTTCTCATCATGTTTGTACCTTTTGTTTATAGGAGTACATGTGAAGTAGTCGTAGCTGATTGATTTAAAAGGTTGACATCTGATTGGTTCATGGTTGCATCTCTTCTTGGATGTTTGGGATCTTCTTACACGATTTGATGTGAAACTTAAGGTCAAACTTTGTTTCTGCTCTTCTGCGATCTACTTTTTTTTTTTAATTATCCCACTTTTTTTTTTCTTCCCCCTCGCAGCCAGAAAAAATCGGCCAGTCTCCGGTTTCCCCGACGTCAGACGGAGACAAGGTGGACCTGGAGGCCTTCAGCGAGTTCACCAAGATCATCACTCCTGCCATCACCCGCGTCGTCGACTTTGCCAAAAAACTGCCCATGTTCTCGGAGGTGAGTGTGGGAGCGAGACGGAGGTGAAAGCGAACCGGCGGCCGACGCCAGGCTTCTGTCGAGCCTCCGTGTGTCCCGCTGAAGGAAACGTGTGATTTAGGAGGTCGGAGTGTCTCGTAGAATTAGCGGCTCGAGGTCCAGGAGCCGTATGTCCAGCAGGTTTCACGTGTTTAACGTGTTCCTGAGCTGAGCGCTGACTCGTTAAGGTCTGGACATCATGTAGAAGGAAAAAGATCTGGTCTAAAAGCTGTGAAAAGCAAGAATGCTAGAAAAAACATATGTTAAATAAATGGTGGAATACTGAGATAATGACAAATATCTGCTAAATAATGACGTTTTTTGTAACACGTGCAGCAAGGACGCCAGAAAACATAAAAAAAAACATTTTAAAAACTCAACACAGCAGCAAATATCTGAAAGATAATTACATTTCTGCAGATTTAATTACATTAAAGGGTGTAATTTTATGGTCACACATTGTGGGAAAGCAAAGTGCTTCTCATTATTTGATAAGATAAGACTTTTATTAATCCCACAGTGGAGCAAAGTTAGAGCAGCAAAGACAGAGAGAGCATTTAGAAGATGCTCTACAACAATAAAACTAAAGTACTAATTAT